GCAAAATCTTTCATGGTGCAATACAAGTCTACTGAATTTCTATCAGGTTTAAGGGGAAGCCCTATTTAGATCGGAATTCCAGTGTTAGGATTAAAGACTATGGAATTCTGGGTAGTACAACTATTTCACTTCGGCAGTCTCATTTATGAGGGTCCCAGAGCTGGTTATTATGTGTCCTTCTCAAATGTGTTATGGTAGCAAGAGTGTTTGCATTGTTCTCTTCGCCTGGGCAAAGATATGTGGAATCGATATTGGTGCTGAGAGACAAACAGATGTGATTGTGACAGTGACGTTAATGAAGGACAACTCAGAGAAGGAATAGTATCCTAGCAACTAGCTGCTTCTGAGGAATTCTCTAGGTTTTCCTAGCTATGAAATAAGAAACTTAAAATTAGTTTCGTTAAAAAAAGAAGAAACTATCTATCCGTCTATCTATCTGTCTCACAAAATATATGAAAAGAACTTTGAAAAATGACAAGAATACATATACTTATTTTTTGGAGAAACTTGCATTCAGCTCCTGTAACAAATGCAGGGAAATTCTTAAGTTTTCAAGTATAGATAAAAATCAGTTATGCAAACATTTTAAGTTTATGTACATAAACTAAAATAAATATTTAATTTATATTTTTGAAATGCGGCGTAATTTTCTTATGTCTGAGTTGAGATCATATTCTTGCTACATCTACCATATTCTATACAATCTTGCTACATATCTACCATATTCCATAGCTCTTGTGCCCCGATTCAACTTCTTCTTGTTTCTATAACCTTGGCATTATCCATGTCAGCAACTTTGGACTGATGTAGTTGCCCTAACTGACACTAGATCAAGGTGGTACACCACAGTGTCATTTTGGGCAAAAGGAGACATCTATAGAAAGACAGGAATCTTTTTTGCTAGGGGATTTAGAGACCAAAAGTGCAGGTGGGATAATAATCCTGCCAACTATAAATACTTTATGTTTAGTTTGATAGTTCATCTTATCAGCAAAATAGCTCTGCATCCCTAGTCTCAACTTAATATGCATGGCACGAAAAAACCTGTTCCTACCATATTATTATGCTCTATACTAGAAAGAATCCATATACTTTTTTGCAAAGCAGTTTTCTAAATTCATTTCAATAATATTTTATCCAGGCACAATATAGTATCCTGGATTTTTAAAGCCTAACCAATATTAGTTATAAATATATAATCAGCTACTCAGTCGCCTTTGTGGCAATCAACAATTTATTCTTAAACCATATTTCCCAGGAGAAGTAAATGAAGTGCTCCAACAATCGTAGCTATTAAACCTTTATTATGTATTTTGTTACAGAACATTCCTGACTAAATAGAGCTGTCAGAGTTCCACTTGGGAGCTCTTTATAAAACTGGCCTTCATTGTTTTTGGGAGTTTCCCTATGTATTAATGAGCTAAAGGAGTTTCTTATTTATTTAGTTTTTTATTTATTAGTTCCATTTGTATTTTGCCAATATTTCAAGACTCTAAGATTTGCAACAATAAAATCATATAATACAAACATTAAAACACTACTAGTAGAAAGATAAAACACAGAACAACAATTAAAACAACATAACAGGACATAAGCCACTTGGTGGGTTGATTCTATTTGGTTTATTTATCTATTTATATTGTCATCCATCTTGTCAAGCCGATTCTGGATGGCAAACACTGTTAAAGTAATATAACAATAAATAAAAAACAGATATTCATACATAGCAAGGACAAAAAGACAGAGGAGGGCAACTGAGGATAGGTCCATCAACAATGCATTAACAATATGTCAAAAGTTCATCCAGCCTCCTGACTCGTATGGCTGAAGGGCCCTCAAATGCTCCTCGAAACAGTTTTCCATTAAACGTCTAGAAGGCATTAACAAACATTGCTTTCAGGAGGCATACTATTCCTTCCCCAAATGATTCCTGTACATTGTAATCTCATGAAAATTGGACATCATAGTTTCTCCTAGGAGGAGCATCTCAGACAGATTGATTCTGATTGAAGAAGGCAGCCTTAGGATAAAACCATCACTTTAATTGCTTCTGTGAACCTGTTTGCAGTCAGGGCAATCTGTGAATTGACAAAATTTCCATCTGTCAGTTGCAAAAGGCCATACTGCTTGGATCCTCACATATACTACACTGATACATGACATCCCAGATTTTTGGGAAGAATTCGATGTGTACAGAGTTCACCATCAACTAAAGAACTGGCAGCTGTGACTTCACATTGTTGTGAACATATAATAACCATCATTTTAGCCATTGCCTCTCCACTGCAGGATGAAGGCCCTCTTTGGCATGTTTCCAACCAATACGGTCCTGAGCTCTCTTTTGCCAATTGGGCCCACGGTACTTGCTGATGTTGTTGATCCATCTTGTTTTAGGTCTCTTCCGTGGATGCTTTTTATCAAGTGGGATCCATTCTTTGACTGCCTTGGTCCACCTGCCATCAGTTCTTCTTGCTATGTGACCATCCCATTTCCATTTCAATTCTTTGAGTCTCTTGGTGATATTGTATACTTTCATTTGTTCTCTAATCCATGTGCAGGTCTTTCTATCTTGTGTTGTAATGCAGAGCATGTATCTTTTCATGGCTCTTATGCCATGTTTAGCTTTTATAATAATAAGATAGTAGATAAAAATGCCTAATCCAGTCTAAACATCTGGCTGACTATGCAACCAACCTTAATAATAATTTTCCTTTCTTCTCTTATGTTATATGACTGTGTCAGATTGTGTTTGTGTAGCTGCCTATGAGAGTATGATTATGTATGTATGGATGTCTACAAAAGTGTTCCTCAATGTTGGCAACATTAAGATATATGGACTTCAACTCCCAGAACTCTGCAGAATTCTGGGAACTGAAGTCCACACATCTTAATGATAAAATTGCTAAGGTTGAGAAGCATTGGCCTATAGCATTTAGGAAAATCTTGTGTGCTAATGGGCAGAGTTCTGCCTCATACCCAAATAAGAGGACTAAAAGCTGTGGATGTTTCTTGACACTTGGCAGCAAACAGTGTTATGGCATTTTCTAAGGAAGGCAAAGCTAAGATTAAGAGGGGTAAGCAATGCCATCATGTGCTTTCTGCCAGTTGGCAGCAAAACCTAGATTGGAGAGAGTCAAAATTCAGTTTCTCGAGAAACCTTTTCAACTTGAAATGAAAATGAGAGGTGTAGAGGATTTTATTTCTCTATTTTGTTTCCCCTTCTTGTTTTCTGTCTGCTGTTCACATCCAGCCATAGGATGGGCCAGCTAAACAGGAAGGTATTCACAGCCTTTTGCTTTCAAATTTCACTGAAATAATCGGCCCCCTTGTGGCAGATCTTTTCCTCGCATACGTTGCTTCCTGACTCAAACCAAAGACTTTCTAGAATTTTGGAAGGGACAGGAATAAAGAATATGAAGGGTGGAAAATGAGAGAAAATTAGGGATAATCAGTTTTTGTCCCAACCTTCTTTCTTCTGTTAGTAGTAGCAATAGAACTGTCTTGCATAAAGTCCACAGATTCCTAACTTGAGGACCCATTTATTTGATTTTTTAAAGCTAGTCATATATGACTTGAAGAGGCATTTCTAGAGAGTTTGCTCGAGGCAATTTTTACACACTACAGGCAAATAAGGAAAGACCCTTTTGCAAGTTTATTCTAGTATGTTTGACTTTTCTCCAATAAGTTTTGTGTAAAGGATATCCCTTATTCCCATTCTCCCATTTTTTAGAAGCATTAAGGTGATCTAACTGGCTATGTAATTCATTTGTGATCTGAATTCAGAGCTCCCTTATCCAGCATTGTTAATTGTGTTATGTTGGCTCTGGGGATTTGTCAGAAATACGTGATTAATCCAACATAGCTATTTTACACAACTAATATAGCAAGCCCTTTTGCATTACTACTATTTTGCATTTTAGTATTTAATGACTCTGGGCCTCACAGTTTAAGGTTTGATATTATAGTATAGTTAAGCCATGCTGTGTTTTGCTCATGTATAATTGACAAATTGGATGCCAAATTGTAATTTTTAATATAAATTGTATCTGTTATTTATTATTTTATTCTAGAATTTTTAACTGGATATTCCTTGAGTGTTTTTAACTTGTTCTGGTTTCTGGTCTTTGACTGTAATAAACTTACTTGACTTGAATTCTATCCCCTAAAATTTAATCTGTACAAGCTGGCAGAGGGTGATATCCTTATATGAATAGTTTCCACATTAGGCGAAATCTGTGTGAGCAGAGGCACAGCAATTAGTACAGTGAACAATTATATCTAAAATAGAGTGCTGTAAATCAGGGGCTCTTAGATAGGGGTCCATGGGGTGTGTGTCCAGGGATAGACTTCAGGAGGTCTATGAAAAATACCATTTATTTTTCCTACTCTCCAATTGAAATTTAGAATTTAATTTAAATTTCTTGTTATTGATGTACCACACATACTACCGTGTTTCCCTGAAAATAAGACCCGGTCTTATATTATTTTTTGCTACAAAAGATGCATTAGGACTTATTTTCCAGTTAGGACTTATTTTTGGGAAAATATGGTAATAAATGTGTCCATCTTAACTGGGGCTTATTTTGGGGGGCGGCGTTTATATTACGAGCATCCTGAAAAATCATGCTAGGGATTATTTTCTGGTTGGGTCTTATTTTCGGGGAAACACATAGCTGTATTCTTTAATATTTTGATAATTATGTTTAAGCATTTCTTTTGTAACACAGTCTATTCCTTCGTATTTTATTTTATGCAGACCCTACAGAGGGTCTGTAGTTTTCAACACTCTCTGAAAGGGTTCCATGGAAACAATTGGTTAACTATCTCTGTTTTAAAGAGAATACATTGGAGAACTGAAGCTGCAAAGTTATAATTTGGGGTGTAGGATGTATAAATTTGTCTCTTTACAATGGATCAGCATTACTTGTACAATGAAACACAAAATTTACTCCTGCCAAGTCATTCCTAATATTCCCTTTTTCTCACATTTTTTTCAAGATCTAAACATGGAATTCAACCCCTCAGACCATCCACGAGCCAGCACAATATTCCTCAGCAAATCTCAAACTGATGGTAAGTAACCAGCTATAAACTACAATTGGAAGAAAGCCTTACATTGGATATTTGAACCACAATGTTGCTCATATTTTATACTCCTTTGAGTCATTTTAAGAAACTGTAGAAATTAGGAGTCAAGAATACCCACTCTCTGTATTTTTAGAGGTTGAGTTATCTAGCAAAAACGCTTGAAATTCCAGCTCCATTTTATTCCTGTTCTATTTTAGAATGGCACTATAAACCCAGATTTTGGAATATACATTTTGCGAATCGTGTTGATTGATGAGGTGTAAGTGAAACTGTTTTATAGGTATTCTCCTATAAGAAGGACCTATACCTTATCTTATTTTTTGCTTTTTGATGGCTCATTTTTACTGAGTTTTCAATATAAGCTATCCTGAATCTTTTTAATCTTTTCACTTTAGTGGACATATAAGTGTCATTAACTGAGACTGATGTTTTTTAAACCAAGGTGCTATTGGCTTATATTTCCAGCATCAGCAAATTGTACAAGGTCTAAAACAACATAAGTCTAATATCAGAAATTATAATACTCAAATCTTAGTGGGGAAATATTTCAATATCATTGTTGCCCTTAAAAAATACCCTGAGCCATAAAATTCTCTGAAGAACAGAAAAAGTATTGTAAAGTCATGCTATGTTGATTTAGCTTCCCAGTGTAACATTATCAGTGGTATTATTCAAATCATTGTTTCATAAATACAGTAGTGGCCAAAATTGTGGAAACCTTTTGGGAAAAGTGTACAGTAGAAATGCTACCTTTGGTTAAGTTTCCACCAATTTGTCTTCTAATTTCTTTATAACTGTAGCCTTGTTCACTTAATAATACTATTTTACATCGCTTTCTGGGCAACCAGTCAACTCTTTGCACCATTACTTTAATTTTATTACGTTTTACAAGCTCACTAAATGAAAGAACACAAAAAACCCCAACCAACTTGATAGTGATCACATAACACACTGACAAATGTCCTCCTCTCAGCTTCAATACACGACATCAATAACTGAATCCTACTGTGATCTGACTGGCTCATTGCCAAAACAAGATGACACCTGATTGGCTCTCTAAACACTCATGCTCATTGGCTACAGTCAGATGAAGGAAAAATACCTGATATCAACCTAAGCAAGTTGTGCTTCCTTTTTCTGGATATTTGGCTATAACGTTTCATAGAATACAGATAATTGAACAAACTTTGTTGCATTACATTCTTGATTAAATTATATTTCCATTGATATATAAGTTTATGGTACTACTCCAAAAGAAGTGGTGTTATTAGCCATCAAACCTCAAAAATACACTTTTCCCAAAAGGTTTCCACAATTTTGGCCACTACCGTAGGACAGCTATTTGCTGTCTGTGTTTTGTACACAGTACTTTGCTTTCCTCTAGTTTCATTGTTGACATGTGCACCCTTCTCCAACAACTCAAAGTAATCATTTCAAGCATCTGCTGATGTAGGGGTTAAATGTTCAAAAGCTTAAGGCACAGTGCATTTAGAAGCCTTTAAATTAATATTGTTCTCATTTTGACCGAGATATGAATATATCTCCTATTTTGTACATCTTACACATGTTTATGGTGGGAGACTTTGCATGAATTATTTTCATTTAATTGATAGGAGAATTGGAAAGTGAATATTCTTTTTGTGTGTGCTGTTGTTCATAATTTTTGACTGCTATATCAGAATGATGGAAAGGACTATTGATTAGTATACTTGATGTAATTAAATAGGCAAAGCTCCCAGTTTATCTATTACTGTTTTGTAACTGATTAACATGGAGAGCCAGTTAAGTATAGTAGTTAAGGCATCAGGCTAGGAACCAACTAGCCTGTGAATCTTAGTCCCATCTTAGGCACAAAGCCAGCTGGGTGATCTTTGGCCAATCATTCTTAGCAGACTTATATGCTGTTTCATAGTGCTTTACAGCTTTATGCCTTACAGTGGCAAGCCACTTCTGAAATCTTGCCAAGAAAACTGCAGGAATGAGTCCAGGCATTTGCCACGAGACAACAATGAGTTGAAGGCACAAAAACAAACAAAAGTAAAAACTGATTAATCAATTAACAGAATCACATTCTACTGTGAGATAAGAGCTATTACATTTCTTAAAATATTATGTAGTTACATACTTAATTCAAATCTGTAAATTTTATGAGAACCAAAATCCAAAAATATGATAGCCTGCTGTACTAAGTGAATTACAAATCATTGTGTATAAATTAAGTATGCAATTAAGAGCTTAGCAGAATCTGGTCTGTATGTCATTAGTCACTTATTTTTTAAAAAATGTTTTGTATATATTTTTCAATACCATACTGTGCGCGGTATGAACTATATATCTTTTTATTTAAAAAGAAATGTTGTTTAGTTAGTTGTTAAGTATCTGTGCAGTAGAATTGATGCAAAGCCAGAAACAAGAACAGACTGAGTATTTTCCTGCTGTTTTCTTAAGAATGTCAGCAAGAAGAATCTTCTCCCCATTATCCCATTGCTTTTTGGTATGGAAGAAAAGTGACAACAATATCAGTTTCTCTCCCATATCAAGTAGCAACTACTTGGAGATGACAGGACTTTTTCAAAACTGCTTGAAAAATAAAATCCTTGTGTGTGCTTAAACCTTATATTACACAGCTTTTACTTAAAAACAGTAACAACAAAATTCATAAATGTTGAATGGAGGCATACATTTCATTTAATAAATAGTTCGTCCCTCAACCTATCTCATACAAGTCAATAAGGAGTGCAACTTGACAATTCTTTGATTAAAAAAAAAGACTAATCAAGGATTATTTTTTTTTACAAAAAATCTAGATCCAATCCCTGTTCTGGACTGATGGATCAAGTCTTAGCAACCACATAAATAGATTTTCTCCATGATAGTATTTCCCTAGCTTAGTGTTCCAGGTCTTCCAATGGAGTACCCAACTCCATTGAAACTGAGCCTATCCACATTGAGTTAGTTGTCCTTTTATTCTCTGTCTTTCTACCTTTCCCAGCATTAGGCCCTTCTTCAGAGACCTAGGTCTTCTCATGAGTAGGATAACAATTTGAACCTGGTCATTTATGCCTTGAGTTAATTGTTCTAAATTAATAATGGGTAACCCAGGTTTATGAGGTACAGCACATATGTTCCCAACCTTTGTTTTCATTTAATTTTCAAGTACTGTAAAATTCTTTCGAGAGAATTCAATAGCACAATGTCCAGCTGCTGCTGCTTCTTGTTCTTTTTTACAAAGAGTAAGAAAGGTAGGCATGTTAAAGCTTTCCAAGATTTAATACATCTTTTTTTTATTCCTTCCTATTTTCTTCAGAAGAGTGAGGAAATAAAACTGGAACCCAGTTTTCCCTATTGCAAATACTTTATTCTAAGAACAGGCAAGAATTACTCTGAAGTATTTTGGAACACACTTCTTCTGCAGCAAGAATGTTTAATCCTTGTGTTGGTGAGAGTCTCGCCAAATATATTTAGGCTGAGGTCGATGACTGCTGTCATTTGTCTTGAGTGCTGCACTCTTTAAAAGGAAAATACAGACAAGCTTCCAGATTCATTGATCAGTAGAGTTGAACATAATCATTTATTAGTCTGTGCTTTTGCCTTCCCAGTAAATTAATTGTGTTCGCTTTAGAGTGCAACTTCATGTAATCAGAAGAAGAGGATTCACTTACTGTTAGGTTGAGGCAATATACTTTCCTCCCACAAATGGTTGTGTATAATAAATTGCAACCACGTTTTCTTTGAAAAACATGCAAGAAATATTGATAGTCATGTGTTAAGTTACCCTTTTCTCTTCCAAACTATCAAGTTCTAACAGAGGAGTGAGTTCTTTGAGATTTAACATGTGGGACTAAGCTTTGTATTCTTACAACTGTAATCTCCATTCCAATGACAATGGGTGAAATTTGGTAGCTTGGCTTCCTGCTATTCTTAGGTAGAAAGCACTCCCAAATTAAGTCCCAAAGATACCTAACTAAATAAAGAAAAGATGTTAAAAACAATCCTTCTTGAAACAAAATATTTGAGGGAAAAGGAGAGCTTGGTCCTGCCTAAATTGCTTTAATTGCCCACTGTGTCCTAGACTCTCAGCTAAAACTTAACGTTAAAAATATTTTCATCTTCTAGCCAGCAAAAGGCAGTCTTTCCCTTTCCTAAATATCTAACACTGTTTATGAAATGAAGAGCAAGTCTTTACCAAAAAAACATCATTAAGGTGCACTTCATCAGAAGTTCAAAGAAAAAGAATAATTGGTTGCAGATATTTCTCTTGGGACTTTTCCAAGAGGCTGCATATCTCTAGAGCTTCTCCTTATCTTTAACCCCTCAATATGGAAATAGAGGATGGTGAGGATTGGCAGTGATATTCAGTGCAAAGCCCACCGTTTCCCTCAACATCTCCAGTGTGGATGCAAGAATTGTCACTGCCGCATTGTGAATTTCTCTAATGTGGTTTATATAATTAGTTGCACCACTTGGGGTCAGAAAATTTCTATTTGAAGAAAAAGGATTATAGCATAAAATTGTCCTCATTCTAGGTGGAGACAAAACAAAGCTCATATCAGCCAGACCAAATAAATTAGCGTAGCTTAGAAAGTATGATAACAGAGTATTCCAGTGCCTGTTTAAAGATTATTGCATTGACTGTTCTTGCCCTGTCCTCATTATTCTAGTAACATAATATTGTTATGTTCTCTGCAGGACTCCTGATTAGCAAGGATCAATTTGTGTACTATGAAAATATTAAATGGTTCATGAAACTCCAGAAGGTTATAACTATTAACAGTAGTGAGACATAATAAAAATTCATGGCTTAATCTGATGGAAGATGAAGTAGTAATAGTAGCAGTAACAGAAATAGATTTGTAAGAAATCTTTAGAAATTAACGTTTTGATCAGTCTCATAGTCCCATAGTGTCATCAAGGAAAGTAATTTCTCAGTTATTATTGAAATAAATTATATTGTGGAGTACAATCTTGATCCTCCTTTCTTTCAG